AAGAAGAAGAAGAAGAAGAAGAAGAAGGAGAAGGCAGAGTTGAGCTGGGACCTAACCAGAACCTCATGAACCCGCACGGTCACTTCTGGATAAAGTCAAGAGTTTGAATGGAGAGGTGTTGCGCTTTCTGCGGGTTGGGAATAGATTCTCAAGTCTGATGTTACGTGTATTCATGCAAGATGTAAAGTCTGCCTTCTCAGGGGTTTCTCCCTGGGACATTTAGGAGAACAGGAAGGGGCTATGGAAATGGAGCTCCAAGTTTCCACTTATTATTGGGTTTATGAAGGGGTATCAGGCCTTTGAAAAAAATCCTACAAGAACCCCCTGGACTGACTACTAATATCTTTCTGTGCCCACTTCATCCTCTCCATGTCTGAATACACACTCTTCCGCTCTGCGAAACCATTGGAGCACTGGTGGCAGACATGATGAAACCCATTTCCGCTCTCATGTCGCCAAAATAAGGGCACTCTCCAACCAAAGCCCTTCCAGGGTCACTGCTAGCGATCCACACTAATTCCACACTGTCGTCCAAATTTCATTGTGTTCTTAAATTCCCCCAAAGAACCCCACCATGTCCTTCTCCAGCCTTGAATTGCCTTTGGTCTCTTTGGTCTCTCCCATTCGAGAACAGTCCTCCAGGGTGGTGGGCAGAATGATGGCCCCCAAAGATGTCCATATCCTAATCCACAGAACCTGGGAGTATGTGGAATGTGGCTAGAGGGGCTTTGCAGGGGTGGTTTAGTTAGGCGCCTTAAGTTGGGGATTACCTGGATACCTAATGGCATCAAGGGGTCCTTGAGAGGGAGGCAGGAGGGTCAAAGTCAGAGGAGATGTGCAGATTGAAGAAGGGGTTGGACGGAAGGGGGAAGTATTTAAGGCAAGTATTTAAGTATGGAGGAGCTAGAAAAAGGTAAGGAATAGATTCTCTCTAAGAGCATCCAGAAGGAACAGAACGCTGATGACACCTTGATTTTAGTCCTCCAGAACTGGGACTCCTGGCCTCCAGAACTGTGAGGTAACACATTTGTAACACAGTTGGTTTAGCCACCAAGTTTTTGGTATTTTGTCACCACAGGGACAGGAAACTGATACATCACTGCTTCTCCAGTTCCTCAAGGCAGAGACCTGGTCCTGACGTGCAGGACAGCTGTGCTATCAAGCACCTCGCTCTAGAGTTTCCAACTAGTTAAATTTAAGTTAAGCATTTTCATCAAGAACCCCACACGCGCGATGATGTGTACCTCCCACGTGTCACACCAACAAGATATGGTCAGATGGTCCCACAACTGGTCACACTGCACTTAGGCCCTGATTCAGGGGGCCTTGCCCGCTGATCTCCCCATCGTAAAGGTAGTTCCCCTCCCCCCTTCAGAGTTAATAAATAAAGCATCAGGTAGAAGCTTAAAAACATGTAACTGTCCTGCTCCTTAACAGCCATTCAACAGCTTTGATGGCATGACAATCATGTACAGTGCGTTCCTGAAGCCTGGCCATTTTGTCATCTACACAGTTTGAGCCTCTTGCTAATGGTATTCCACGAAACTTTATACGGATCTAGGTGTTCGGCGTTTTGGCCCGAGTGAGCAAGGACATCTGGCCCACCAAAATTATGTTCTTCAAATCCACTAGAACGTTTTCTGAGATGTGAGACGCTGCGATCTGTTCGTCCATGAACTGAGGTGTGTACACAGAGAGGGGGTCAGGATGCAGACGGCTGTGCGCGTGCCCCACCTGCGTGTCCCTCCCACGTGAACACTCTGCCAGACTCCCGCGCCGAGCTCCTGGCACCACGAGCATCAAGCGAGATCGAGACACCGGTGGACCAGGAAATATGTGGCCTGCAGGTAACGGCTCCAAAGGGGCCGGGGGCAACTAGATGGCCCAGCCCCCTTCCACCCCTTCTAATAAAACAGTGCTGGCCAATAGAAATAGAAATATATTGTGAGCCACGTATGTAATTTGAAACTTTCTACCAGCCACATGGAAAAACATAAGAAAAAACAAGGTGAAATTAACCTTAATATTTTATTTAAGCCAATGTATTCATGAATATTATGAATATAACTATTCATAAACTATTGTCATTTATATATGTAATCAGCATAAAATTATTAATGATGTAGTTAGGTTTTTTTTTCTTCTTCTTCTTCCAGGTTTTTGAACCCAGTGTGCATTTTGTACGTGGGGCATGTCTCTGCTTGGACCAGCCGCCCCGCAGGTGTTTGGGAACGCATGTGGCCGGGAGCCGTCACGCTGGGCAGCACAGCCCCAATCTGTGACTGCAGCTTGTACAAGTGCAGCTCTGGGGCTCCTGGGTGGTTCAGGCGGTTGAACGACTCCTGGTTGCAGCTCAAGTCACGATCCCATGGGTTGTGGGTTTGAGCCCCTCACTGGGTTCCCTGCCGAGCATGGAGCCTGCTTAAGATGTTCTCTCCCTCAGGGCACCTGGGTGAGTTGTTTAAGCATCTGACTCTTGTCTGCAACCCAGGTCATTATTTTACCGTTCATGAGTTCAAGCCCCAGGTCAGGCTGCTTGCTGGGTGTGCAGAGCCTGCTTGGGATTCTCTGTCTCCGTCTCTCTCTGCCCTTCCCCTGCTCTCTCTCTCTCTCAAAATAAATAAATAAAATAAACTTAAAAAAAAAAAAGATTCTCTCTCCCTCTGCCCCCTCCCCTGCTCATGCTCGCTCTTTCTCCATAAAATAATTTTAAAAAATTTTAACAAAAGTGCAGTTTTCACATTGCTATTTAACATTCCCAAATATAAGTCTCCTGTTCTTTTATTATCGCCTTCCAAACCCACAATCCCGACATAATTAAGATGAAAAGGCTAAAACAATTCCCTGACTGGAACACCATTTGAACCTTTCCTGTCTGGGGAATAACGTGACAACTTCTCTTAAATGCAGGTGAGAAAGGAAAGTGTGTGAGAGTAAAGCAGCCACCGCTCAAAGCGTAAACTTTTGGGGAAATTCCAGGAATACAGAATAAAGCAGTGTTGATTTCATAGGACAGACTGGCAGTGGTTAAGAGTAAGAACGGGGGCGCCTGGGTGGCTTAGTCGGTAGGGGGTCCGACTTTCGCTTAGGTCATGATCTCACGGTTCGTGGGTTCAAGCCCCACGTCGGGATCTGTGCTGACTGCCAGCTCAGAGCCTGGAGCCTGTTTCAGAGTCTGTGATTCCCTCTCTCTGACCCTCCCCTGCTCACGCTGTCTCTCTCTCTCTCCTAGAAATAAATAAAACATTAAAAAAAAAAAGAGTAAGAACGATCAGCACAGGGAAACCACGAACAATCAATCACAAGTAGCCTTCAGACCCAAGGAATTTCAGTGGATTTCACTCATGTACCAAAATGTACAGCCAACAGCTGAAAGGGGCATCTATTTTCAGTGTGTTTCTTCAGGCCTTTTCCCGGAACCCAGGGAGAGAAAGTAGCGCTGGTCAGTCTCCACTCTGAGTTCAGTCTGGGAGACAACCACAACGAGGCGCAGTGCAGCTTATCTGCGGGCTCGGGGAAGATATCCTGGAGGAGAGAGGAGCTGGCTAGGGTTATAGCAATTCTGTGCAGCTGGCAGCACCATTCTGCAAATTCGGCAATAGAGTTTTGGAGACAAGAATGGATCTGCTGAGGTTACTCAGTCAGTGAGCAAGGAATCCAGGATTTGACTCCTAGGAGGAAAATGGTAGGTCCGCAGAATACCCAGGCTCTCCCTCTCGTGTGATACAGGCAGGCTGACAGACACCAAAGTTCCCGAAATGTCCCTGGAGGCTGGCCTAAGGCAGGCAGGCAGTGGGGCAGGGGATCAGAGGCCAGGCCTGTAGCCAGCTGGGCCTGGTATGAGCCATGGAACAGAGATTAAAGCTCTCTGGGGCCTCATCTGTGCTGTAATCATAACAATGGCAAGACCGAACATTTATTATGGGCTTTCTGTATACATTCACTGACTCAGTTTTCTTCATTTCTAGATTAGGATTAATAAAAATAGTAACAAGAATAATAAACAATAGGTACAATTTACTGAGTACTTATTGCATAAAAATCTCTGTTCTAAGAGATAAACACATCTTGATGGTCCTCATCTGTAGCCTGGGACTAATAATAAGTTGATATGAACTAGTTAGTAAGCACGTAATAGATTATAAGCCCCTGTTCTGAATAGTGCCTGGCACACAGCAACCAGCACGTGCCTTTTATGAATACCTGTGTAGTAAATGACAGCACCCTGGTGCAAGGCACCTTTTGAATTTAAATCTTTTAAAATGTATTTTTATTCGTTTGAAAGGGGGAAGTGGCTGAGGGTACAGGGAGAGAGAGAATCTTATGCAGGATCCACACTCAGAACTGTCGCACCAGGGCCTCGATCCCACCACCCTGGGATCATGACCCAGCCAAAATCAAGAGTCAGATGCCCAACCCACTGAGGCACCCAGGCGCCCCACCAAGGCACCTTTAGGAACAGGGTCCCCCACGCCAGCCTCCAAGGCAGCTGACATACTTAACGGACTTGCTGGTGAAGAGACCTGGGGGGTAGGGCACCCCACACGAGGACACAGCAGGGCAAAGGCCCTGAGATGAAAATACTTGGCGAGGGTGCAGCAGCAGCTGGCTGGAACTGCCCGGGTGAAGGGGTCAGGGGAAGGCCCAGAGGTCAGTGGGCGTCTGTGGGGAATGCAGGGGCTGTTGAGAGGCTGGGATTTACCAGCGGACATACAGGACCTTCTGTGTGTGTTTTAACACGTTCCCTCTAGCCCTTGTTGGTAAAACAGGAATTGGAGGGGCCGCCTTGGAGATGGGGTGGCTTCGAAGCCCACGTGTCCTTTGAGGTACTCAGGGACACTCACTGAGCTGCTGCTTGCGCTCCCCACGCGACTGGAGGGCGGAGCCCGGACGAGGCCCCGCCCAGAGCGCCTGGACACGCCCCCCGCCCGCGAGGGGCAAGGGCCCCGCCCTCCGCCCCCAAGGCCAGGGGGGACAGACTGAAGCTGGAGGTGGAAGACTGAACGAAATCCTCGCCTTTATTTCTGGGTGGGCATCAAAGGCCGGGGTCGGGGGGGGTCGGGGCGGGTCCTATTGGTCTGGGGGCGACTCCAGGTCCTCGCTGTGGGCGCCGGGGCGCTCGGGGCCGGCCTGCGGGAGCCACGAGTCAGGCTGCGGGCGCTGGCCTCCAGGCACGCGGGCTGGTGACTGCCTTCACCCTGTCCCCCGTGTCCCCCGCCGGGAAGCTCTGCTCCCCACGGGCGCTGACTTCCAGGGACTCCGAGGGCACCCCCGCCGTCTCTGCCCCCTCGCCGCCATCGCCGCGCTCCCTACCTCTCCTTTGCAGTCCTCGTCCTTTGGGGTGCAATGGGTTTGGGCAATATCCTGCCCCCCGAGTGTCTCCACCTCCGTCTGCAGCCTGGAGAGCAGGGGGCGCGGCGAGAGGAAGAAGAGAGCGAGAGTGGGCCGGCAAGGGTAGGAAGCCACCGAGATCCCGACGAAGACCGCAGACGCAGAGCAGCCGAGGCGAGAGCGGCCGGGGTGCAAGGAGCGCGGCACCCCAGAAGTCCCGCCAACTCGCCCCAGGGTCGGCCCTTCCGGGAGGGGCGGCCAGAGGCTGTGCCGGGGCTGCGGGGGGAGGAGGTTGGCCCATTCCCCTCCTCCTGGCTCTTTCCCCTTCAACCCAGGCTTCCTGCCTCTCTCACCCGTCGTTCAGGATCCGGGCGCCCCAGACCTCGGGCGACGAGCGCAGCCTCTGCTCCACCTCGCGCAGCTTGGCCCTGGCCTGTTTCTCTGCGGGGGGGCGGGGCGTTGTGGGCGGGGCCAGGGGCTCCGGCCGACTCGGCCCCGCCCAGGCCCCGCCCCCTGCCTGGATTCCCACCTTCAGTGAGCAGCTGCTCCTTGCTGCTCTGCAGGGTATGTATCTCCCAGGCCAGTCGCTGCTTCAACATCTGCCAGAGAGGAGACCTGTCCATTGGTCTGCCCTTTCAGCCCCCTCAGCAAGCCCTTACCCGAATTAGGTCATTCATTCATTCATTCATTCATTCATTCATCTATTTAACTTCATGTGCAGTTCCTGCTGTGGCTGGTGGCGGTGGAGACACATTTCTTCTCCAAAAGCTCCCTACGTCCGTCCCCGTGCGCCTCCCAATCTCTTCTCACTCTCCCCATCCCCCCCACCCTTTGCTCCTCTTCAAATGCGCAAGGCACGCATCAGCCTCAGGGCCTTTGCATTGCCTTTTCTTCCAGGAGCATTTGCACCAAGATACCTGAATGTTTTCCTCCCTTACTTTATGTCTGTATTCAGATGTCACCTGCTTAGAGAGGCTTTCCCCACTGACATTACATGATCTATCTACTTATTTTTTTGTTTAGAGTCTGAGTATGTTTCCCACTCCCCGCCCCCAACCATCCTGGGGACAGCAAAAATATTTGGCCCCTTTGGCTCCCCACTGTCTCCTCCTGCCTGGAATGTTGCTGGAGGCACCCAGCAACATTAGTTGAATGAAGGGATGATCAAACCATGGCCTTTTCAGGGTCCCCATTTGCCACTGCAAGGGGAGCAAACTCTAGGTGAGCAGGAAGGAAGCAGGATGGTCAGCAAAGGCTACCGCAACAGACTGGGACATAGATGCTGGGCATGGCGATGGGGGATGGTAACAGGTGGCTAGATTTAAGGTAAAAGTTGAAGGGCTGACTAGGTGGGTAAGAGGAAGAAAGGAGTCAAGGACTGTCCCATGGAGTTGGGGCTGAGCAGTGGGTGAATACTAAGCCCGCCAGGAGAGGAGGGGCTTCGGTTGGAGGCAATGAGGATGGCTCACGTGCAGCTCCCAGAGGTCCTTGTGCTGGCTCATCAAATTCTCCAGCTGTTCTTCAACCTGAAACCTAGGGGCCAAAGCCCGGGGTTGAGAGAGCACATGCTAGACTGACACTGAGACTGAGACCCAGCGTGGCCCAGTCTGGGGATTCCTCTGGGGGACCTTTGGATCTCTGCCTGGTGCACCCTCTACTAGGAGTCCCTTTATGGGCTTTCTCCTCGAAGCTTTGGTTCCAACGGCTCCTCTTCTAACAAAGTCTCCCTGATGCAAGCCCCACTCCCGTGCCCAGCCAGTGCCACACCAGGCCGCAGATGCGGGCTTACCCCAGCTTCCTCTGTCTGCAACTCTCTGGAACCTGAGAGTTATGGACAGAAATTTGCTCCGTGCACTCCTGCAACATGTTCTTCCTGGAAGGAGAAAGACAGCTCTTAGTCACAGTGTCTAAATAAGCCCCCACTTCCTTCAGCAGGAGGGGGGTGGGGTGGTCTGTTCATAATCTTCATCATTCTTCTTTCTTCTGCGACAGAATATGCAGCATTATGGGCCTCTGTTTGAGATGATCACCCTGTCCATCCTGTCCCTCAGCAAACCATGCCTTCCCAAGGAGCTTCTGTGAGGGGTACAGTAGTTTAGCTTAATAGATTCTAAAATCCCAACCTGAATTTTGTATCTATTCTACTGTGACCCTGGACAAGCTACTTAACCAGTCTGGGTCTCAGTTTCCTCACATGTAAAATGGTGATAGTGGTGGGAAGGTGACAGTAGCCTTTCACTCCTGTCCTTGTCATTGTGAGGATTAGGTAGAAAAATGAACATAGGGGTGCCTGGGTGGCTTAGTCGGTTAAGCGTCCGACTTTCGCTTAGGTCATGATCTCGCGGTTCGTGGGTTCGAGCCCCGCGTCGGGCTCTGTGCTGACTGCCAGCTCAGAGCCTGGAGCCTGTTTCAGTCTGTGACTCCCTCTCTCTCTGACCCTCCCCTGCTCACGCTGTCTCTCTCTCTCTCCTAGAAATAAATAATTTAAAAAAAATTAAAAAAAAAAGAAAAATGAACATAAACTGCTATGTGTGGTGTGGTCAAGCATTACATCCACTTTATCACTGGGTTTCCTACACAGTTAAAATTATGGTCCACCCTGGTGTGAGACCTCTGGTCACAAGAACATATTAAGGAAAGGTTCAAAGGATGGAGGTGGATAGATGGTTGGATGGACAGTAGCTGGATGGGTGAGTGGCTGGCGGAAGAGAGGATGGCTGGCTGGAGAAATGAAGTGTGGAGGGATGATGGCTGGACAGAGAAATAAAAGAAGGATTCCTAGAAGGGTGACTAGATGTCTGGGTGGATGGTTGGGTGAATAAATAAACAGCTAGATGAATGGGTGATTGGAAAGATGGAATGAGGGTGAATGAATGATCGGATGGATGGAAGATGATTAGATGGAAAGCTGAAGACATGTTGGCTGTCTGGCCCGCTGGAAAAGGACTGCATAGATGTGTAGATGAATGGATGGATGGCTGGGTAAATGGATGACTGGGGGGCCCCAAATGGGCAGATAAATAAAGAAATGAATTTATCTGGGTGGGAGAGCTGGATAACCAAGAGAAGATTTAGAATAACACCAGTGGGCGAAATTTGCTTAATAAAGAAACTAGCAATGAAGGTTTCAATGAGCCAGTTAATCTCAACACCGTCATCTGATACCAAAGATGAGGGGGCAAGTCTCATGTCTATTTACTCTACTCTACAGAAAGGAAAAATGAGAAGTGTGTGTCCAAGGTATATATTCCCTCGCTCTTGCTCCCTCCTCCTTAGGTTGGGAACAAAGTAGGGAAGAGGTGGGCAGGATTCCTTACCTCTGAGCTCCACTCTCTTTCCTCTGGCAGTGCAGCTGGAGGATCCCCAGCGCCTCTGTGGGGAGAGGAACCAAGGGAGCCCTGTGTGAGCTCTTGAGGAGTCAGGGATGGGAGGACGTAATGGCTCCCACATCACGTCACACATCAAAGGCCTTTAGTGTCTACGTCGAGTCAGGTGGCAGCCAAGGGAGAGACGTGAGCAGAGGGGGAAGCACCCTGACTCGGGTTTCAGTGGGATTCCTCTAGCTATTCTGGGAACTGTGGGATTTTGTGGGTAGAATGCGGTAGAACACTGAAGACAGAGAGCTGATAAATACCTTGCTTTTTGCTCAAGACCTCCTCTAGGTGAGCCTTCTCTCCATTCACTGGAAAACACAGTGACACTTTGAGCTGTCAGGGGCCATACCTGATAGCTTCATGCACAAGGCATATCGAGGTTACAGAAGGTAAGGTACAGTGCCAGGCCATGGGGGGTATCTTCTTGCCACCTGCACCCATCTCCTACTAGGGGTCATTCCTGGTCCCGTTTCTCCCCCTCAGTGTCCACATTGTCTGTAAATACCGAAGGAGTGAAGACTGCAGGACACACAGGGTTTATACCAATGGGATAAAAGACTAGAAATAAATATGTTATGTCAAGTGGAAATAAAAGCTGTGAAGAAATAAATCAAGCAGGGAAGTGACAGTGACAGACAGAAAGTGGTATTCCATATCGAGATGGGGCATTGAGGTAGACTGTTAGAATAAAGTTTGGGCTGATAGTAGAAAGGTGATGGGGCAGCAAAAGGCAATCTGGATTATAGGCATAAGAGCACTGCAGGTGGAGGGAATAACCCATGCAAAGACCTCGATGTGTCCAGAGAACATCAGCAGCGCTCGTAAGATCTCTGGGTCCCTCTTTCGGTGCCACTTACAAGAGTCCAGTTCCCTATGCAGGCTGTCCCAGAGGGCTTGGGCTTCTCCCACTTCCTCACTGGATTTCTTCTTGGCTAGGCCAAAGAAGAGAAGACACCGTGAGTGCAGCCTCTAACCCTGCTATTCTCTTGCACACTGTGACTCTGCGCACTCATCTTTAAGGAACCCACAGGTGCTCGATTTTATAGCTAAGGAAGTGGAGCCATTCCAAGTCCAGGTTCTTCCTGGTCAGCTAGGAAGCCTAGGTCCTGGTGTTTACCTTGCTGAAGCTCATTAATCCGGTTAATCAGGTCTTCAGTCTGTGGCTCCAGGCTTCCCTCTGCAGAACCAAAGAAAGACTGAGTCAGAGAAGATAGACACCCGGCTGTCTAAGGCAGATGGGGGTGGGTGGGTGTTGGCGCTGTGTCTCTGATACCAGCAATCAAAACAAATTTATTGCACACCTGCTCTGTGTTGGGCTCTGTGAGAGGCCTTTGCAGGGTGTGCATTCTGCACAGGAAAATGGACATTGAATGAAGATATATGCTGTCAATATGGGCAACAGTAACTACAGTGGATAGAAATAAAGTGAAGCAAGGGGTTGAAGAGTGAAAGGGTAGAAGGTGCTTCTTGATATGGAGGTGAGGAAGGGAGCCTGTTCCATGGGGGTGGGGAGGATGGAAGGGGGAACGATGCCGGCAGAGAGACAAGGGCAAAGCCCTAGAAATGGGAGTGAGTGAGGCAGATGCCCAAAGTAATGGGTAAGGGGCTGGTGTGGCTGGTGTGAGTCTAGCAAGCAAGTCAAAAGTACCAGGAGGCAAGGTGGTTAAAGTGAGATGACAAATCACAAAGGGCCTCCTGGGGCATGCTGGAGGCTTCTAGATGTAATTTTGAGTGTGATGGGAGCCAGTGGAGATCTCCCACCTGCTCCACCCTGTTGAAAGCCTGGCAGTCACTTCTGTCCATCTGACTGTGGTATTGGCCTCATTTGAGAAATGGGAAAAATGCGTTCCTCTTGTAGGTAGTGGCTTTAAGGTTCTCCCGTGACAGGGATATCATTCTCTCTTTAGGGAACCATCTCTAACTTCTCACAGTCCCAATATCAGTGCTCTGTATGGAGAAGACTTCCTCCTCATCCCTCTCTGGCTTCAATCAGGAGCACAGAATTGGGGCAAAGGCTTCCCAACCCTTGCTAGGTCTCACTACCAACCCCTGACAACCTGGAGTTCCTGAGTTAATAAAGTGAAGCCCTTGATTTTCGGAGGCCACCAACTCCATCCCCTGAGACTTCTAGGAGCCCGAATGCTCTCCAAGGTGCTGATTACGATAACAAATTCCTGAGACTCTTCATTTTATTGCAGAAGGTCACGAACACGCTGCATTTCCAATCCTGCAAGTTCTCTACCTAATTTTGGCTTAGGCAGCAACCCCAACATACTTCTGCAGGTGGCCATGGGGGTGGGGGACAGTGTGCAGGGCAGGAGGAAGGAATGGTTCTCTTTATTTTGGAACAGACTGACGGATCATAGATTTAAGTTGCCGGTTGCCTGGGGTGGGGGGTCGAACCTAAACCTAGCCAGTACTCTGCCCCAGCCCTGATGTAGGCTGCTTCCTAGGCCCCCTCAACAATGGAAGCAAGATACAGTCATTTGCATTGCCACTTGCCATTTGTATATAAAAAGGGAGGACAAAGAATACACACCCATGAATGTATATTTTTTTAATCTCTGGAAAAATGCTTAAGAATTTAAAAATAGTTGCTGCTAGCCCTTGGGTCAGGGACACAGATGTTTGTGTGTGCGTTCATGTGTGTAAGAGAGTAGGATTTTCCATCCTCTTATACTTCTTGAATTTTGAAGCTATATTTTTAGTTCAAATAATTAAGTTGTATCAGAGAGAGAATGTGCAATGGGATAATTTCCCAAGGTTGTGAGTTGAGGGGTCTGGGGTTGAACCACATCTGCCTGCCTCAAAACCCCAGGCTGAGCCTCAGACACAAAGATATGCATGACCTTTGTGCAGCTTTTTCACCATTGCCAGCAAGTCTTCAGGCACCTTCAAAGGCTTGGTCTGCCCTGTGGAGATGAAAAACACAATTTCAGGAGGGAGGGAAGGGCCAGGCCTATCTGGGAAGGGAGGAAGGAAGGCACAGACACCCCTGACCTGGAACTGAGGACAGGCTGAGAGGCAGGTTTCCAAAGAGGGCAGGGCTCCTGCAAGACCCCATCCCTTGTCTCTGAGGTTTGTGATGTGTGCTGGATGAATCAGGACTCCTCATGTTCAGCTTCTCCTAAGAGGTCAAAGGACACCAGAGGCATCACCTTAATGAACTGAAACTCAGGGATGAGAGAAGGACGGGATACATTTTTGCTGCTGCTGCTTTTTAGAATCATTATGAAGTTCAAAGTGATGCAGTAGGGCAGAAAGATTTCAGATAATTTATTTAAAAAAAAAAAGCATTATAGGCCACAATTTGCAAATTCCTAAAGACTCAATGGGTCTGGGATGCCTCTGTGGCTTGGTCAGTTAAGCATCCGACTTCGGCTCAGGTCATGATCTCGCGGTTCATGAGTTCGAGCCCCAAGTCTGGCTCTCTGCTGTCAGTGCAGAACCTGCTTCAGATCCTCTGTCTCCCTCTCTCTCTGACCCTCCTCTGATCTCTCTCTCTCTCAAAAATAAATAAACATAACCCTCTACCATCTGACTACATGTTTTATAATATGAAAAAAATTAAAAACAATAAATATTTATTAAAATGAATCAATAGGTCTAGGATATGGTTATTAATGAATGCTACCATCAAACAAAGACAACCAGGTATTATGAGCCTCCTCATGGAAGCTCACAACACCACTTATAAAGGATTCTTGCCAAACACAACACAACACAACACAACACAACACAACACAACAAAACAGGAATCTTACCAGGTTTCTATAGCTAAATACCAATTTAGAAGAAATAAAAGGAGCAGGGAAACATGTTAAATGATACCATGGGAGTGCAATCACTGTCATCCAGATGCTGGAAAACTCCACAGGACAATTTGGTTTCTTCAACAAATACATTGCAAAGAAAAGAAAAAGAGAGGGAGAGGGGAAACTATTGATTATAAGAGACTTGACACAAGTATCATTCAATGGTATTTGTAATTGTATCCAATTGTAACCAATGTATTTGAATCTTGATTCAAAAACACTTTTCACCATCTGTACATTTTTTTAAGAATTTTTTAAAAAATTTATTTCTGAGAGGGAGAGAGAGAGAGAGCGCGAGAGAGCAGGGGTGGGGGTCAGAAAGAGAGGGAGACACAGAATCTGAAGCAGGGCTGCAGGCTCTGAGCTAGCTGTCAGCACAGAGTCCGACGCGGGGCTCGAACTCACTAACCATGAGATCATGACCTGAGCTGAAGTCGGACCCTTAACCGACTGAACCACCCAGGCGCCCCACCGTCTGTACTTCTCTATGTATTTAACACCAGCCTGTGTCACTTTTAAAATTATAACAACAGGGACACCTGGGTGGCTTAGTCAATTAAGCATCCAACTCTGGATTTTGGCTCAGGTCATGATCTCACAGTTTGTGAGACTGAGCCCTGCATTGGCTCTGCACTGACAGCTTGGTGCCTGCTTAAGATTCTCTCTCTCCCTCTCTCTGCTCATTCCCTGCTCGTGCTCTTTTTCTCAAAATACACAAATAAACTTAAAAAAGAAAATAAAATTATAACAACAACAACAAAAAAGCCACAGGAGATTTTTTTAACATCTTCAACTCTTGAAATCAATGATGAAAGGTCAAATCCCAGTGATCCACTCCTCTTCGAGAACTCTGGGCGGCGAAAATGAAAGGCCGCTCACAAAACACATACGATAGCCACATGGTAAAGGAAGAGATGCTTACTCACAGTAATGTACGGTGAAAAGTCCCTCCTCCTAAGACCCTGAGCTTCTCCCTTCCCCGTCAGAGAGACCACTAGTGTTACAAGCTCTTTGTTGTTTAGTTGGAGATCATTCAATTCATATATGAGCACAAGTCCACTCTTTCTATAACAAGTAGTGTTGCCTCATGAATGGTCCACATCTTGTATTTTTCATTTGATCATGTATACTGGTGATCTTTTTATTCTTTTTAGTGGCTTCATAGTGATTCACTGAACGGATATACCATAATTTAAGAGAAGCCCGCCTACTGATGGATATTCAGGATGTTTCTCTTCCTGTGCTGTTATAAACAATACCACACGGACCCTCTGTATTAGTTTTCTTGGGTTGCCATAACAAAATACCACAAAATGGGTCCTCTTTTGGAGTCTTTCTTTTGTGGGTCTGTCCTCACCTGGCATTCTTTATTTCTGTATGTGCAAATTTCCCTCTTCTTATAGCGATACCAGTCATTGGATTAGGGCCCATCCTAATCTAGTATGACTTCATCTTAACTAGTTATATCTACAAAGACCCTATTTCCAAATATGGTCACATTATTAGGTTCTGGTAGACATAAATTTGGGGGAGGGGCACAATTCAACCAGAAAACCATCCCTATACATTCTTTTGTGTGCAGGTATGGGAGTTTATATACTAGATAAATTCCTACTGGGCTACCTGCTGGATTAAAGAGCATGTGTGTTAATAAATTTTATGGGTATTGTGAAACTGCTCTCCATTTGTTTCAAGCAGGCCCACGAAAGACTCTTCCATATTCCTAGCAGCCAAATATGTTTTCAAACTTTTTCATTTTTGTCAAAATGATAGGCAAAACCAGTATTATATTTCAAACTTTTTGGTAGTAAATATAAAAAAATTACTCAAATCCTCTAGATCAGAAATTCCATTATCTAGGAATCTATGTTAAGAAAATAAAGGATGGTGGGCAAATCGCTCATTGTTTCTAATCTTAAAAAGCTGAAGCAACCTAAAGATGTCTGAGTTAATTTAAACAGCACATTCGTAGGAAGAAATCTTTTGCAGCCATTAGAAATCATGTTGTAAATCAGGGGTTCTTTCTTCACCTGACCTTATGAAATTTTGTTAAAATGTTTGGTGGTATGTTCACTCTTTCCATCTTTTTATCTTGTCTGAAATCCTTTACAAATTAGCATACATTAAATTTTGCATTTGAATCTTTAATACTTAATAAGCAAATGTAGAAAAACTTAGGCTAAAAGTAAAAGCTTCCTCTCATGAACAGCCCCTTCTTCAAGTCCCTCCTCTTCCCAGAGGTAACTACCGACAATAGAACACACTCAGAGCTTTCAGTAAAATTTAGTAAAAACTGAAAATAATATTTCATGTATTGCTTTAATTTTTACTCTTACCCCAAAACATTCAGACATTACAGAAATATGTGAAGTTAAAAATGAAACTTCTTCTCTCCTTAGCCAATGAATCTTATTGCCTTTCTCTGATATAATCAATAATAATAGGTTGGCATGTCTCCTCTTGAGATTTTAAAAATGTTTATAATATTCTTAATATTTGGAAGTGAAACAAAAATTAAAGCTACTCTATTAACAAGGGGGAAGTATTTCTAATTATTTGTTTTCTTTTTAGTATGCCATATGAAAATTTCCAAATGTCCCCGCAAATAGAGAGGATGCCATGATGAACTTTTGATTTATGCATTGCTAAAATCTGACAACTGTATTTGCTTCAGCTAGGTTTTTCCTGTGCTGAGGTATTTCCAAGCAAGCCCTATGCTATGTTACATTTCATCCCTAGATATTTCACAAAGAGTCTCAACTGCTTGAGGACATTTTCCTACCTGACTCTAAACCTGTAATCACCCCGACAAGATTAACAGTCATCACGTAATACCATCCAGTGCCCAGATAGTGTGATTTCTCGATTGTCTCGGTGCATTTTACAGCTGGCTTTTGTAACCATTTCTGCCAAAGCTCCATCTGTTTTTCCTCTCCACTTCATTTCGAGTCCTAGTCATCATGAGTTACAAGCACATTAAAAAAAAAAAAAATCAGACTAACATCCTGATAACAAGTTTTAGGAATGTATATTATAAAACAGCCTGTACAGATAGTCCCTTTTAACATTTTATTTTGAAATAATTTCAGATGTACATAAAAGTGGTAGAAAAGGCCCCAATGCTCCTATTTGCCTTTGTATCAGATTTCCCATTTGTGAGCATTTCTGTAACATAAATTGCAGGCATTGTGGCCCATTATTCCTTAATATTCCAGTGTATATTTCCTAGACACAAGGGGATTCTAACCACAGGTAACCACAGTATAACCATCAAAACTGGGATGTTAACATCGCTCAATATCAATATATGACCCTTAGATGCCATTAAAAAATTTCCCTCTTTCTCTTATATTTTAAAATTATAGAATACGTTTTCCTGAAAGACAAATAAAAGAAAAAAAATATCACAAAGCACCTCCACCTTTGTGCACTCTTAAAAACCTATACCCTTGTGACAGTCATTAGTTAGTCCTTTAGCTTCAGATATTGTTCTGTGCAACATACATAGGGCTCTTGTCAACACTGCCCCTCTTTGTTTTTCTAGATCCCAACTTGCTTTTCTCTCATAAAACTATGATCACCTTTGGAGCTCATTCTATGTCAATAAACCATGATCTTATGCCTTTAAAATCAATTGTTAAGTATCTGAAATTAAATCAGATTTTTTTCCCCTATTGCTTAAAATCATGTCCACCACTCAAGCATTCCACAATATCCAAGAATATATCTAAACCCAGCCATTCCCCTGATTGCTCCATGTGTTTTCTTCCATCCATAACACTCCAATGATCCTTTGTGGTCCACACATCTGCATATGCTGATTGCTGAGCACGGTGACTAAAGATATGGAATAGCATTTTAGATGCTAAACGTATTCTTCCAAACTGCTTCTAGCAAAGTCTTTACTGGTCAGTTCTCTGAGTGAAGCAAGAGACAGGCTGTTTCCCCATAGAGTAATCAATGCTAGATTTATCTCTTTCTTTTTAAAGCCATTTTCAGTGAGCTAGAACGATAAGTTGATATGCTTTTCAATTTTCTCCATTGCTGGTGAAGTTAATAACTTCAATTTTGACTAATTTGAAAGCTTGATACTAAAATAGTTCTCAGCACAGTTGTTACTATCCTAAGTGCTACCATAACTGCTCAATACATGAGATCTATTTTCAGCTTTCTTATTTCTGTCTGTTCTTTGCTGAAAGCCGGCCCTCCACATGTAGCCCTTATTTAAGAGGGCTCTTCCTGTTACAGTTATTAATTATCCATACGTTACAAAAAAGAAAATTACCGAGCACCTACTATATGCCAAGCAGGCCTTGTTTTAGGTGCTGGAGAAATAACAATAAACAGCTGAACAATCACAATTATTGATGATGTCTGCATAGATAGATCTGGAAAGATGCAATCCAACATGTTACTAACATAACGGTTTGAAGAATGTACAGAAACGGGGAGAGCGACAGGTCAGAGGAGAGCAGAAAGTCGACTTTTGAAACAAGAGTGATGGGTACATGGGCCTTCACCGTGTTATTTGCTGTACTTGTGTATATTCCGAAAACGTCTGTAACAAAAAAAAATGTTAGCGGGATAGTGGCGGCTCACCATCTTGGGAGATTTTCTTCTTCCGGCTACACTGCGATTTCTGATGATTTCTAGGGCAGTATTTCCCACCACACTAGGGTGTGGGGTGTCATTACTGACAAAATGCCGCGGAGAAAAGAAGCTGTCATTGGGAGAAGCCATTCTCCATGAAGACTTAAGAGTCCATGCGAAATGGGGCATGGGCTGGGTGTGAAATGACACTGGGGAATTATTGTGGATTTTCTTCGGTGTGGCAGCGGCTGGGTGATTTTTGTAACAACATCCACCTCCATATTTTTTGTTTAAAGAGATGCGTACTGAAATATATAGTCTATTGTTTGTTCCAAACATTTAAATCAGGGTACCCAACAAAGTGGACAGGAGTTCATGTAGATTGAGAATATGCGTGTTAGTTGTCTCCCCTTTGATGAAGTTTTTTTTTTTTTAATAAAAAGCTTACATTTTTACTTTTTTAGTATCGCTATTAATATTTCGTTATTATTAGGGGACAAAGCCTCCCTCCCTTCTGCCCTGGTGGGGGAGGGGCCTGCTCGCCCTCCCTACCTTCGGCCTCCTCGCTCTCCTCCACAACTTCCGGCGGCTCCATCGCCAAAGGCTCTACCTTCCCCGCCATTTTCCACTGCTGGGCTTGAGCTTGCGGGCGCCTGGGACGAGGATTGGTTTTAACAAAACAAAACGAAACAACCTACGCGAGGGTTACAGGCTCTGCGGCGCGCATGCGTGTAGTGCGTGTCGGCTGGTCAGTTGACCCGGGTATAGGAGCAATGAAGGGGCAGCTCCAGCCAAGCGCCGGCCAGAGCCCCTGACTGACAGCGCGCATGCGTACACCCCGAGGCCCGCCAACTCCCGCGTAGGCAGAGCTAGAGCGCAACTGGGTCTTGGTTCGGCTGAGGAATGGGTGCTGTGCACACCTACAAACTCCAGGGAGGGCTTTCCCTCCCTGGGTTGCTGTGTTGTGCAGGTTGTGAAAGTCTGGGACACGTATACTTGTGCTGTGCGGTGGTACACAAGAATTCGAGTCCCCTTCCGTTTACAGATCCTCCTGTAACAGCCTAGGCGATGTTTCCTCCGCTTCACCGAGGGTACAACGAGCCTTGGGAGCCAGGCGCACCTCCTGTGTAAAAAGTCTGGATCTCAGCCATGTGCGAAGCCGGGTGCTCTGCCTGGGTTACACGGCCAGATAGGCCCTGGAGGCTGCCTTCTCATTAATAGCAGCGGCAGCTAAATTGATGGGGGCCACTTTTGACAGGGTAAAAATGAAGTATGTGAAGGGCAAAGGAATGTCTTTGTGGGAATTGCTTTGGGGCCTTTTGTGTACGGTTTTTTCTTTAAAATATCCCCAGGCTGGTTCTAGTCACAGGCTGGCACTGCATTCCCAATCCCATAGCTCCTGCGGCCCCCCCATAGGGACCTTGGCCAGCCCTGGACACTCAGGCCTAAGAGCCCATCAAGGTGGCTGACTCCTGATGCAGGACAGGGGGTGTGGTGGAGGAGACAGCCCCTAACAGAGGCTAGAACATCATCCAAGAGGAGGAGGTGAGGGAGAGGGAGGCCCAAGGATTTCCCCCAGAGGTGGAGGTGCGTGGGGAAGCAGCCTCGCCCCTGCCCCTCCTGCGTCCCGTTTCCGGGGTGGAGACAGAAGGTAAAGCTAAAGGCGGTGGTTCCCAGCACTGCTCAATCTAGCGGCCTCTCAAGGTCCAGTGAACAAGCCATTATGAGAAGGTTGGTCTGTAGAGGCCGCTGGGGCCGCCGGGGGTGTGGAGTACTTGGGTGGGTAACGAATGAAGAGTCGATCCTCTTCTTTCTTCACCCAGCGCAGGAGTTTGGTCACTACCAGGATGGCACCTGCCTTTGTCACCAGGGGGCTGAGGCAGGTATAGAGTTCAAATTTGGAAGTCACCTGCAGGTTTGAGAGGGGACCGAGTCAGTTGAGCCAGAGATGGTCACGCCCAGTCCTGTCGACCCCACCCTAGCTCCATGTCTGTCTCCTGTTTGGAAAACACAGTTGGCGAGGGCTCCCACCTGGTGCTACATGGTCACTGGGCTAAAATAGGTAAGCTAATATCATGGTGGGCCAAGGCCTTTCAGTTGGGCCAAGGAATCAGCTGAATCTAGTAGCTTCAACTGGTTAATGCTGGGTGTGTGTGTGTGTGTGTGTGTGTGTGTGTGTGTGTGTGTACTTCCTGGATCTCAGTTTGCTCATCTGTGCACTGAGTAGAACAACAGTGCTTAACACTTACTGAGCAGTTGTTGGAGGCAAGCTCCAGATTCTCCCTCTAGAAACTCAAATGGCCTGCCACCTCACCCTTAAACGCCGTCTCTTCAGTGAGTCATCCCCCAACAACCCAATTTAAAATCCTGGGCCTACCACATCTTGGTTGTGAAATGCCATTCTTCGCTAAAAGGTACAAGGGCTCGTTAGACAAATGGCTGATTCCAGGACAGGCACAGAGAAAGTACGTGATGAGCCGGGAACATCTTGTGCCAGAAAATGAGACTGCTTCAGCAGTGATGGGGGTGTATCAGAAAGACACAGGGGCCAGCCTGCCTAAATCAGAGACCGTTTGAGCACCGAAATAAGTGACAGAAAAGTCTTTTAGCCTGCTGAATTAAAGAAAAATCCATGAGATCATATTGATAGAGAATTAAAAATTCAACAAATAAATAGGGGGAGAAAAAGTTCTTCCATACAGTAGTAGAATCTCAACCAACAAATGTAGAAGGGATGACGAAGTCTGAAAATCACTACCTGGTAAACACCAAAGTAGTAACTATTGCAGACAAGAATCATTAACGGATATTAAAATTTGTAGATGAAAGTATGATTTTAAAAAAAACCCAAATCTGACATAATCACCACAAGATATTTGCTGGTTATGAAGGAAAAAAAACACTATAGAGGAGATGCCACCTTAACCAAGTGACCTAAGTTAGCATCAACAGTGGGGCAAACAGATATTGTGGACCTCCTGACTGGATGCAGAGAAGGGGGCATCGCTCAGTTGGGGGATATTTTTGACAAAAATGCATGATAAAATATCAGAAAAACCCAAGTTGAGGAACATTCTACAAACTAGCAGGTACCCTTGAGAAAGTCCAAGGGCGTGCAAGACAAAAAAGGCTGAGAGAGGGTTTAAAAGGAACGAGACTAAGGAGTTAACAATAAATAAGCCCAGAATATGATCCTGGGCTGGATTATGGAGCAGTAAAAGGGCATTAGTGGGACAACTGGCGAAATCTAAATGAAGTCTGTGGATGAGACGGTGTTGTACTGATGTTAATTTCCTGATTTTAATAAGTGCCTGTGGTTAACATCTGGAGAAACCAGGTGAAAGACCTATTTATGGTAATTACTTGTACTGTTTTGCTGCTTCTTTCTAAGTCTGAAATTGCTTAAAAATCAAAGTTAAAAAAATTTAAAAGTAAAATAAAATCCTCAGGTGAGAACAATGCCTGATACACAACAGATGTAGAATAAGTTATTTACTATACGTGTACCACACGGCAGAGCCTGGGGGAAGGTGGCATTTCCAATGGGGTCACCTTGACCAAACTCCCTGAATAGCTGACCCTTAATAAACCCATGGGAGGGGAGGAGGGGAGCCCCAGAGACCCCATGGGAGGACACCCCGGGCAGAAGGCACAGCCTGGAACGAACCCTGTCACGTTCAAGAGCGCTGGGGGCCCTGAGTGACGCGTGCACTGGCGCGCACACACGGGCAGGGCTAACCCGGAAGCAGCAGGCACACAGACGGTTGTTAGTGCGACCTCTTCAGAGTCTAAGACCCTGTACTGGTTGATTAGGGGGGAAGAGCGAACATTCCATTCTGTTCTGTTCGCCCGTGATCCTCTTGGGTTTCAAAGGCACACGCGTAGCGTCCAGAACGGCGACGCAGGCCGGAGCACAGTGTGCTTGATGGAGGCTGTTGGGGTCTTAGGGGATTCAGCGGGGGGGAAAGGAGACTTCTAGTGGGGAGCTAACGCTTTCAGGCCCCTAGCCGACTCACCCAGGCCAGCAGCGTCTCCCTCTCGGCCACGTGGTAAATGAGGCGCAGGGGTCTGGAGGGGCTGTGGAGGCGCGCGTGCAGGCGGTGGTATAGGTCCGACAGGCGCTGCCGTTCCTCCTCCCTGCTGTACGGGGCCTCCAGCTCAGGGCTGCAGGGACCGAGGGAGGTAAGGCCAAGGTCAGTCAGAGGCCTCCGTGGCTGGCCCGACTCCCCCTCAGTCTAGGAGTGCAATGAAATGAGGGAGCCGCGCCTCCCCCACTGGACGTGAGGGTTCTCAGGGGTTGGAGGCCCAGCTTCCCCAGCAAACGAGGGATTCCTTGAGCACTGGGGCCCTTTGCTCCATTAGAATAAGGGATTCCTTGAGCCTCCCTCATTAGACATTCTATTCCATCTTTCTAGAGACTGCCTGGCGCTCTCCCGCCTCACGTCTAGGAGAAGAATCTTTTAGTTAGATAAGCCTTCCTGCCCAGACAACTGCCCATAGGGTCCTACCTGGTAAACTGAGGCAGCTGGCGGTGATGGTCGGGGATATCCAGCGGCTTATAGAGGAAGTGTCGGAGGCCGGGAGCCCCCACAGCCTGCACGCTGTAGGCAGGGGCACTGCTCGATGGGGCATTAGGGAAGCTGGCAGCCTCCCGGAGGGCGCGCATGGCCCCGAGGGTGTGCATGCCCTCTTCCACCAGGCGCCGGCAGGTGGCCATGTCATGGAAGGCCTCGGGGTCGGTGCCAAGCAACAGCAGGCAGACAGGCATGGCATCCAGGCGAGCCACGTAGGCATAGAAGAAGCCATCGGGGTTGAAGCGGGGCAGGCACACAGGTGCCCATGCCTCTCCTGCCGCAAAGGCCGGTGCCCCCACCCAGTCGAGCAGCAATTGCAGGTCGGCTGGGTCCAGGCGGCACTCGGCCAGCACGGTCCGCTCCTGAGCTGCCGTCACCAGTCGCCCTCCGATGGCCAGCACTGACAGCGCCAGGCCGGGTGCCGTGCAGCGTCGCAGCAGGGCGCCCAGCGCTTCCCGCAGGGGGCGCGCCAGGGGCACACAGCGCACAGCGCCCAGGAGCAGGGCACCGGGGTCCCGCTCCACACTGTCCAGAAGCCGGTCCAGCGTGCGCTCGGAACCGGCCAGCAGGCGGCGGAGGTCGTAGTTCTGCTTGCGTGCGAAGATGCGGGCCACGCTTGCGCGCGTCAGCGTGCTCACGATCTGTGCGTGCACAGCCAGCAGCTCCCCCCGCAGCTGGGCTGCTGACTGCGGAGTCCTTGACACGGCCACCAGCAGCAGTGGGCCCTGCTGTAGGAACACCAGCTTGTGGTCCTCTAGAGGAGGGAAGGGGGGGTGGGGGGCGGGTAGAGATGGGTCAGCGGCGACCAGAGGGAGTCGGGCGGGGCTCTTCTGCTCTTTGCCTGAACACACACACTCCTGGCCCAAGCTCACGTGGTCACTCCATGGTGCACTTCGACTGCGATAAGGACACCTTGGGGAAGTCTGGCTGGATATTCGCAGAGACACGATGGGTCGAGGAATCAGGTTAGACACACAGCATGGATGACACAGAGCGAGGACTGACACAGAGCCCAGCCACACACCCAACTCAGCCAGAGCCCCGGAGGTCACGCTTTCGGATAAATAAGGAAGTATCCAGCTGGTGACTTGGATCCAGTTGAGTTACTCTCTCAAAACCCAGCAGGCCAAGCAGACGGACAAGAGACAGACGCCGGGCCAGCCATGCACACACACGGACTCACCCCTGGCTGGCTGGCTAGTTCCCAGTCACCATCCCCTGTTCTACCTCCCCCTCCTTTGCTCACCGGCATAGATGGCACGGATGGCGTCTCCTGCACTCTTCACGAAGGACGCGAGGGCTGTCATCACGCCCATGGTGGTCGACAGCGCCTCCACACTGCCGTACCTCGAGTAGATGGGCTTGCCTGCCTCGCTCAGCACAAACACGTGCTTCCGCTTGCTGCGCCAGTCCTCGTCACTGGGGTCCCCACCCTGGACCCCAGAGCCACTCTCGGGGCCACCTGTGGGACTATTCTCAGAGACTGCAGGATCCCAGAGCCCATAGGTGCATGATGGGGCCTCTGACTGGGGCAGTGGTGACAGCAGGCTGGGTGGCTGGTCCTTTGTCTCGGATTCTGAAAGAGAACTCCTGGTGGGTCATCTGGCTGGGGACCCCCACTAACTCCATGTACCCAAGGACTTACCAAATCTCTACCGGCTCCCCAGTGACCCCTGCTGCTGACATAGACCTCCAGGTGTCTCCTCTATCTCTCAATGACATCCACAAGATCCCTCTAAAACCCCAACAACCCAATTTGTCATTGTCATTATTGAACTATGTCCCTAGAGACTGTTCTCCTTTCAATAACCGCCATTTCCAAGTCTTCAAAGCATCCCATCACCTCTGAATGGCCATTATTAATATCCCCCATCTTCAGTGGTCCCCCACTAATACCTCTGACCCCTCATTTATTCTCCTAATACCTACTCACCCCTCATTGGCCACCATGACATCTACTAATATCTCTATATTCTCTCATCTAAATCCTTCCCCCTGCCCCACCCCTCCCTAACCCCTTATTTATTCTCATCAGTGTTCACTGATCCCTAATGACCTCACTGACTCTTCTGGTCACCCATGTATATTTTGGATGATAACCACTAACTCTCCCAATGATGGCCATGAATATCCACTAACACCTAGATCTTTAAGCCGAATCCTCTATTTACTCCCATTGCTGTTCACTAACATTCCAATGACTCCACAATATCACTAATACCTCCAATGACTGCCCTGGCGCACAATCTAAAATATTTTACTCCATGTGCACTTCATCCCCACCATGACCACCATTAACTTCTACTAATGTCCAAGACTTCAAATGACCTCCACGGACTCTTCTAACCCTTTGTTATTCCATTCTCCCTTCTCCCCACTGACTACTATTAATCTCCACTAACCCTTGGGACTTCAGTGACCTCCTCTGACTTCCCTGACCTCTCTTTATTTTCATGGAGAGCTACTCCCTTCCTCACAATACCCACTATAATATACTCTAACACACAGGACTATAATAATGACTTTCTTCATGATCATCATTAATAATCACCAACAAAACCCACGACTTCACTACCCCTTGACACCCCCTTGACACTCCTCTCATTTATTGCAGTCAATATTCACTCATCCCTCAATGACAACCATTATTATCCATTGGTAACTATGTTGCAACACTTTTCCCATAAATTCCCAGTGACCTTATATTCCCTCATTCTCTGATTGATATTCATTGATTCCCCATATACCCAGTTACCAATTACCTCCTCCTAATACCTGCCATTATTTGCCAATAATTCCCAAGTTCTCAAAGTCACCACTCCCTACCACCACCATTTACTCTCAGTGATGTCCACTCATCCTTCCTGATGATGCTACTAACATCCACTCATTCCAAAGTGGTCAATGAACATTGATTCCCCAATGACTTCCATTGAGTCTCTACCATATACCTTTACACATCCAGCTGGGTCTTCAAAGACTCTCCTACGGGTCCTCTGACTCTCCAAATAATCTCATTGATGTCCACTGCCTCTCTACCAATGATCGTCAATTACATCCACTAATTTCTGGCTCCTTAAAGACTGCCTCCATTAACTCACCATTGATTCCTCAATGATGTAAACGCTGGGTGCCCACCAGTCACCACTGATCCCCTTTCCTGCCTCAATGACTTAAATAACACCTTAGCCCCAAAAGACACTGACTTCTAAATAGTTCCCCTTTGACTGTATTAACTTTCTTTTGGTCATTCATTAACCTGAACAAACTAAATCCCCAATATCCCTCTGTGACCCCAATCTCTTCTTGATCCATCAAAGACCTCAACTCACACCAAGGCCCCAGTGAACATCCACTGACACCCACGGATTTCCTTGTCATTCCTCAATGACTTAAATTACACCGTGTGTCCACAATGACCTTCTGCTGATCCTGTCATGATTTAAGCTACTTCCCTGAGTCCCAAAAGACTCCTCACTGGTCCTCCACTGACCTCCCCCAACAAAGACACTCCGTAGGGATTCCTTCCAAGGCCCCAGTGAGGGGAAGCCATACCTGTTTCCTCCAGGTCCCCGTCTCCAGGATCCGGTGGGTCCTCGTGAAGCCCTCCACCGTCTCCTGCCAGTTCACCGGGAAACCGATTGTCCTCCAAGTCTTCCACGTCCCCAGGGGCTGGGGCAGTAGTGTCTCCTCCAGCCTCCATCTGCACATCCCTGTGGGATAGAGGAATTGACGGTGACAGGCGGCGAAAGAAACTTCTTAAAAGCCTCTACTGAGCCTGGCCTCCTCGGGTACATTCCTAGTGTTCATTTCCCCTCCGGTTTCAATAGGATGGGACAATAAAAAACATGGCAAATACGTGCACCCTCCAACATTTTCCGAAAAGGTTCCACTGTGCCTTAGAAAATGAAGATACATAAACACCTGTTTTAACCCCGTATCTCAATTGGCCGGGTACCATCACTTCTCGAGCCGCGGTAGCATCACACTTCCGGGTGCGACGTCCGTCTTGCCACACTTCCGGGTGCGATGTCGCTCCCAAGAGGCTTCCGGTTGCGGCGCTTTATTCGCTCCCCGCCGCGCCGGAGCCCCGTCTCCCGCCACCACTGGTGTCCCCTCACCGTTGAGATCACGCGCGCTACTCCCAGGTTTACGTCGATCCGGTTAGGGACCGGGTGAGCTGCCTATAGCCGGACTGGCTGGCCCGGCTGACAGCCGAGCCGGGCCCGCGTCTCCTACAGAAGACTGTCGGCGTGAGGGGGGCGCGGCTCACGTTCAGCCAATCAGGAATCGGAGGGCGGCACTGCCTCCCGCATGGCCCAATCAGGAGAAAGCGGCTCTCCTTCGGCCGTTCCGCACGTACTCTGGCTGCCTATTTCTACCAGTACTGTGCACTGGGTTGAGATTGCGCCCGCCCATCTTGACTGACATATCCCGGGGCCCAATCGTAGGCTCAAACCGATTTCCCTCTTAACTCGAGGACTTTCGCAGCCCCAGTCATTATGGATACTGGTGCCCGCCCAATAGTGGTGCTCCGCCAGAACTGAGGCAACTTCACGCTCCCTTATCCCCCCGAGAAGCCGAGGAGATAAAGGTGGAGTGGATAGTCTGTGCAGAGAGGAAATGCTTGACCCAACCCCCCTCTTCCAATCGGAGCGCTGAGCGCAGCCTGGCCAACCTATGGGACGTGGCTGCTAAACCGAGAGGCGGGCCTCTCAGGAGTAGAAAGTATTCGTGGGTCTGTTTGTAGTCAGTCAGACAAAGGGCTCAGCAGCCTCTGGAGATAGGGAAGCGCGAGCCGGAGACGTGCTCATGACGAGGGGGGGCAGTGAGCTTACTAAGGCCATGTGCAGGCTGCCCAGAGCTTGGCCAGACTCACAAAAGGCCAGGCGGACCTCATTTCATTTCCGAACCAGCTGTGGGCTGAGCTACAGGGTTTAGGAGTATCCGCTTCAGAGAGTGGCATGGGGGCGTGGCCTTGAAAGGCCTCGGAGCACTGGTTGGTTGAGGAAAATGCCCCTCCGGCCTCTGCGTGCCACCATTGGCTGTGCCAGGGGAGGCGGGACGCCTTCGCGGCTGGGGACCCGCCCCCTAGCGGGTGTCCCCCCCCTGGTTTAGAAAGAGTGCTTGGACTGGATTTGTTCTTAACCTGGGCTGGAGCACGGTGGGGCAAAGCCCTTGAGGACCCGCGGAGTGGAGCTCCCAGCTCCTCGCCCGCTGGATTTCCATCTATACTGGGGAATCTTAGGAGAAATAGACCTTCTCTCTGATCACTCTGTCCTCAGGAGATTGAAGAGTAAAGTCTTCCATCCCTTCCGACAAGGGTTCCCTCAGTTATGACTTCCTTTCTCTCAGCGTGGCCTGCTTAATTCCAAGGTCCTTGTCATGTTGGCTGAATCAACACCCCCAGGTAAATAAATCACCTCTTCCCACATCCCTATTCCCACCAAAGTACAAGGCATTAAAAAACGGCTCTGGCAAGAGTGGATGGGGTAAGTTCTGGAGTCCAATGAATCCTGGAGACATAGTAAGTATCTTGGACTCACACAAATATTTTTCAATCCTCCTTGCAGAGGATCAAGACAACTTAAGGGTATTTGAGTTTATTTATATGACTTCTAAGGAAAATAATTGTACTTACATCCCAAAGTGGGCATCCCCGGTGAGAAATTCTGCATATGGGGTGAGTTGATCAATCTCAAGGTGCCCTCTCACCTTCTGCACAAACAATTCCATACTGGGCTCCACCCACAAGTCCAGGAAAGGGTCCCTTTCTAAGGACATTTTTTTTTTCATGAGGTCACTAGAACATTGTTCCCAGGACTGCACAACCATGCCTACTTCTATACTTGTCCCAGGATGTCTTGAGCCTCTGGAACTGACAATTCATAAACGACACTAGGAACCTGCCTGTGCCTGTCTGGATAGACTGTGATAACTCTTCCGCCATAGGTTCTTTTCTTTCTAGACTTCCTGAATGCTAGGAAATTGAATTTGAATATATACAGTGGAAATTGGAATGGAAGAAGGACACAAGTATGTTCAAAAACAAGGCAACTCGTAGTGCATCTGGGCTTTGACTGGCTCCCTCAGTTGTATCTGCAGTGCAGGAACTTTTGTGGTCTCTATTTCTCTATTTCCTATCCCTCTTCTGTTCCTGGCTTCTTCTCTCTCGTCTATGCTTCCTCACCTTGTTCCATGCTCCCTGCTCTGATTCGTACCACTACTTCCTGCTCCTTTACTTTTTGTCTTGCCATGCCATGCTGTTCCTTGCTCTGTCTCCTCAGTCCTTTCTCCCTCCCCCCAATTCTTTGACTCTTCTTTCTGTATCTTGCCACTCTTCTTGTCTTTGATTCCCCTGATCTTATTATCTTCTCCAAATTGCGTTGGGAATAGGAATAAGTAACAGAGGTATGCTGATCTTAGCTACATTTATCACATCTTCCATGGGAAAAGGGTTGGACGCTTTCCTAGACACATAGTTTTGAATTGAACACCCCTGCCCTGCATCCACCAAGTGCAAAACTTGAATAATGTTAGCCTACCCTATGGAACTAATCAATGTAAATGGAATCACAAATTCATAGCCTTCTGTACTCCACTCTATTTCACCCAACAGAGGTCTAACCCCATTCCCAAGCCTACCATCCTTCATAAGCCAACCAATTTCCTCAAATTTCTGAAATATTCTAATCTAATTTAACCAAACCCTTAAGCACACCTTAAGTCATCAACCTCCATATAACATTCAATGTTTCCAATTTCAAAAATCTCCCCAAACACTATGCCTCCCTAAATCTGATAGCCTATCCCAAACCCCATCTTCACCACATCCGCCAGTGTTCCCAGAACTCTCACTCTTTCAACCCAAGAAAATGTCCAAAGCACCTAATAATCCCACACAACCCACCATCCAAGAATCTATCCACACCCCTAAAGCTGCCAACTTCCACAAATCAGCAACCTTCTAAAAACACTAGCCTCCAAAACCAAACACACCTAAACCTCGGCTTCCCCAAATTCACCAATGTTCCATGCTCATCAACCTCCTCAAGCTCAGCAGTGTCCACGCCCATCACCTACCCCAAACCCACCAATATCCTTATGCCACTCAGCCTCCCCAACCCTGCAAACTTCCTAAACACACCATACTGCCCGAATATACCCACTTGCTAAATCCAAATATTGATGTCAGAGAATGGGTGAAAAAATGCACCTTCAGGCATTTAATCCCAAGGACACTCTCCCATCCTTAACTCCCCCCCCCCGCCCCTCACACACCCTCATCCGCTGTGGCTGAGGGAGACAGGAGGGTCTCTGGCACCCAACCAGTCGGTGAAATCAGGGCTCTTCTGCCTACCCCACCAAGTTGTTTAGTTTCTTGTTTGTTCCCTTACACACTTCCTCCTCATAGAGGATCAAAAGGCCCAAGAGATAAACGATCTCTTTAAATGAGCTAAGTCCGTGGTTCTGTATTATAAGACCAATGAGTTTGGATTTCTTACAGAGATTTCCTCACGTGGGAAGTGCTGACCCCTGCCAGGTTTCTTGTCATACTATCTCACAGAATGGACCCCTGTATCCTGGGCCCCGTGCAGGCACCGAGTAACCACAATGCCTCTCACTGCAGGTTTTTCACCCACTGAATCACCCCCTGGTAGCTGTATTCAAAGATCTGGCAGCCCTGGGCTCTTTTGGTACCTGCATCAGGACATCTGAGCCTCTGGAACTGACCACCTATGACCTCCAAGCAGCATGTGCCTGTCAGTGGACATCTGGGCACTCTGCACTGACCTCTTTTGCTGTAGCATCTGTTCCTGCATGCAGATTTGGATAGTAATAAATTACACATGGCCTGGTATGATAGGATTTCTCGCAGAGAGGTCAACAAAGACCAGACAGAAGGTTGTGCAAGAAGGTGGGGAAGGATGTAACCCTCATTTGAGTAACCTCTCCACAGTTTCTGCAGCCAGGCCCTGGTGCTGGATTTTACTTCCCTATTGCCTGTTTCTGCCCCACGTTTCTTGCTCCCTTAACCTGAACAATGCTCCTTCTCTGTGCTCTTGGCCCAGCCACTGTGCACTTGACTCACCACATTTCTCTATTCCGAAAAGAGTCGGACTCAGGGAAGGAGGGTAGGGGGGTAACTTTACTGAGGTTGCTTCACTTCCCATATTATTATGGCTCTTATGTGACTTCAGTTCGGATCATAATGTAATGGTGCTTTGCATTCTGTCCTTCCTGATGGCTTGCTGTGTCCCCCCGCCCCCATTGTAATTAACGCTGCTTTACAAATGAAATTCTGACTCATTTATTAAAAAATAACAAAACTCCGAAGCAGGAATTGTCTAATTCTACTTTGCTAGAAAATCTATATTTTAAAGTACTATAAATTAAAACTATATAAATAAAAAAGAATGCAGTGGGAAGAGCAACTGAATGAAGGTATAGATAGAATCTGTCAACCTGATGAGATTTTTGCATTCCTTGTAATTTATTAATATTTGAACTTCCTTGAGTTTACTGATGCATAATCCAGATAAAGAATTGTGTGCCTATCTACTTATTTCAACAAACCACCTCTCATTCACTGCAGCACTCAGACCAAAAGAAAGTCATGAAGGTACTTGAAATGCTTCAGTGACTCGTGGGCTGCAGGAATAAGCACTCCGTGGGAATGTCATGCGTGGTCTTAGACCTTCGAATGTGCATGACATGCCATGACATGAGAGAGCCTCTCCTTTGTGCCTTTTAGGTCCCCAGGATGGAACACATCCTCTGGCTGACCTCTGCTGTGGTGTTGTCTCTGCGTGTCACCTCTGATGTGCCTGATCGTAACTGCTTCCAGAATAAGCCCCCCCTCCCCCGCCCCCACATGCGGCATTTACTGCAACTTAGACATTGGTGTGCCTGATTAACACAAGGAGGGCTATCACCATGAACCTCATGGGGATTCTCACCAGAGGTTACTGAAGGACAAAAAATATCTCCTCCTCCAAAAGGTGGCTGGCCAGGGAAACTCATTGGTTTTCATAAATTCTACCATTTAGAGGCTGGATATAGGTGAAAGAAGAGAAACTTGATTCCATAAACATGAAGAGAGGCAGAGTTTTTTTTGCTGAGTATTTTCTTCTTATCAACATATTTGTAAAGACTTGAGAATCATCCACGTTACTCAAGCCAGCTGTTTCATGATTTCATCACCACCTAAGGGAAGTACTGGGCTCCTCTTCAAACTCAGTTCCCCACA